AGTGACTCAGTCTTATCACCTTAAATGCTTAATGCTTTATGTTTTGCCTCTCTTTAAAGCAATTAAGTGGTTGAGGGATTATGTCTTGTTGCCAAGTCACTTGGTCCATGTGTGATGTGTGGGCTGGGGATGGGTTGGCGAGGTCACCCCTGGGAGGGGAGCTGGGGCCAAGGCTCCTCCAGCTCTCAGTTTTCCATCTTTGGCATTGCTGCTTGCAAGTGGGGTGGCTGTGGGCAGGCTGGGGTGCTGTGGGGAGATGAGGGTGCTGCAGTTGAGCCCCAGCCCTCGGGCAGTGTGGGTGTCTGCGGTGGGCCCTGCCCAGAGGCTTGAGGGGTCTGGGTTCAGTATTTCCAAGTCCTGCCTATGGCCCTGCTCCCTTCCTCCTCTCTCTGTCCCCTTCCCTCGGTGCTCAGTCCAAAGCCTCGGTGGCAGCTGAGGCACATTAAAAAGATGGTCAGGGCAGTCAGCAGTACCCACGGCCAACCCTGGCCGTGCTCAGTGGCTGTTTTGCCATGGAGACACCCCTCTTGACTCCTGTGTCCTTTGTAGAGGCCAGCCCTGTGAAATGGGGTGGGAAGCGAGTGATGTTAGCCTGGAGGGGCAGAGGCTGGCTGGGAGAGGAGGTGTGAGATGGAGATCGCTGCCGGGATCTGCTCGGACCCGCGGGAGCTCCTGCCAGGCATTCCCAGCCTGAGTCAGGCAGATGCGCCTGGGGATTACACCATGTGCCTCCTTGAATGAACTTAATCTTGCTGTTTGCTTCACGTTCCTGTTGCGCCCTGTAAGCCTGGGAGAGGATTTGGGTGTTAGGGTGGGGGCTGTGGCTGCCCTCACAGCAGGTCTGCTGAGGAGGTGGGGGTCCTGTGCTGGGCAGTTTGTGCTGGGAGTGGGTTTCTAAAATGGCAAAGATGAGTTGTTGTTTGGCCTGAACATCCCCTTTGCTTTCCCTATCCCCTTTGCTTTCCCCAAAGCTCAGTGGTAGCACCCCCAAAGTGCATTGAGTCCTGGCTCTTGATCCAGGCTCCTGGAGGATAAATGCTTGTGAGTAGGCGGTGGGCAGCCCTGAACTGCTCCATGTGCTGAGGATCCCCCAGAGCAAATCCTGAGCTGTGCTGGGGGTCTGGGGTCTCTCCCATAGCCCAGACCCAGCAGGGCAGGGTTCGTTGAAGGGCTGGCTCACAGCAGGGCAATGCCCCAGTGCCAGGCTCTTGGCTCTCGCTGGCTGTGCCCCTGCAGCCCCTGCTGTGCCTGCTGCTCACCGGTAGCGAGGGACAAACGGGAAGCTGCTGGCACATGTCAACTCGGAGGACAAAGCCTGTCTCTGTCCCCTGCAGACCCTGCCACTCAGATCTCATCTCATCTGCCCCAGCAGCAGGTCTGGGTGGCACCTGAGCCAACTGTCCTCCCTTGCCCTGCTACCGGAGGATTTGCCTTTTCTCGGAGTAGTAGCAAAACCCTCTTGCCAAGGGTTAATCTCCAGGTTCTGGAGGGAAGGGCTAAAGTCCTTACCTGCGGTGTAGCTTACCTCCCAGGGTGGATGAGGGCTGGGAATCTGCTCCAGTGCAAGGGGCAAGAGACAGGCAAGACCAAAGGGCACTGGCAGGGCAGGGCTCTCTGTGGCCCTGAGTGATGTTTGTGGCTTCCCTGGCTTGGAGGGTTTGGCTGGACCAGCCCCAGGGTCAACAGCACGAGGGGATGAGGTTGGAGGCCACGGGAGCCCGGTGCTATTGGCAGCAGGGCTGCAATTCTGCACTTAGCTGCCTCTCTGAGCCAGCCGGTGGGTGCTTCCAGCCCAAAGGGCTCCTCAGTGGGATCAACCTCTCCTCCGTCTACTGCTAAGTTAGTAAGGTCTCGTTGTGGGCTTGTCTCAGGGTAAGCAGGGAGAGCATCCAGGCAGGAGGGACTTCTTGCCCAGCAAGATCTGGGGATGGATCAGCAGACACTGGGAGAGCAGGCTGGGTCCCTATCTGCACCCCGAGCGGTGCTGGGGAGCTTGACTGCCAAACATTGGCCCCTGAGATGAGATGCACCAACATGGATGTCTGGCAGATCTAGGGTTCAGAAAGCCGTACCAGCCTGGTAGTCATGGCCAACCCTTCTCCACGGGAAGCCTTGTGGTGTCCCAGTTGCTCACCTTGGGAATGCTGCCTCTCCCTGGCAAGTGGAGAGGAAGGGAGTGAGAAGCCCTTGGACCCAAGGCTGTACTGAGGACTGCCTGAGCTAAGCTGCATCTCTGTTTCTAGGGATCTGAGCCTGGGTTTGGTTCATTTTTTGTTTTGAGTTTGGTTTTTTTTTTCCCTTTCCTGACCCTGCTGTGTCACTGATCTGTTATGTGACCTAGAAAAGAAAATGATCTCTCCTTCAAATGGAAAGACAAAGGAACAGCTTAAGGCTCCTGCTCCCTGTATCTAGGGAGTGTAGGCAGATGGACGCTTTACAATACAGCAAGGTGAAGAGACTCCTCTATGCCAAAGCCCTTGCGGGCAGTGTCCAGGCTCAACGGGACCTGGCACAACACAGCGGTTGTATTTTAAAACCCCACTGCTTTCCAAGTCACTAATGCAGCTACCCCCCTGGAGTGCCTGCCCACCGGTGCAGCCCCTATGTAGAGACCCCTTGGTGCCTCCGGGATACTAGGGGACTTAGCTACCCCACTGCTCTTCCAGCAGAGCAGCTCCTTGAGACCAGGGCAAAACATCTCCTCTGAGCTTTCTTCTGTGTAGCCAGCAAAACCCTGCCCGAGAACACAGGTGCTGCATCTGTACGGGCTCAGCCCGATTTGTGGGGCACAAGCAGGGAAGCTGTGATGATGCTTTTCAAAAGCCATCGGGTTCGACCTGTTCTGCAGTCACAGGCTGGTTTTTCATCGTCTCTTTAGAGAGAAGGACAGGCAGGGCATTAGCATGGGATGTGAAACCTGGTTGGGTTCATCACTCCGCCTGAGGCTTTGTGTCTGACCATGATGAAGTTGCTTTAATTTTCTATCTTTAAAATGAAGATGGTATCTCAGTGCCCTAAAGAGAGTAAGACAGCGTGCTGGTGAGGGCTGTGTGCATATCAAAGGCCGCGCTTTATCCACATTTGGGGTGGGAGGGCTGCAAAAAGTAGGCTTCTTACCCATCAGTCTGCTGAGATCTCTCCCTCTTTTGAAGTGCTTTTTTCCTCCAAGTTGGGTCTCGCAGAAGGGAAAGCCTGCAGCTGCGTCTTGTCTTGAACCCCATGTACAAAGCCAGGGCTTGCTCTCATCCAAAGGACTGTCTGGCTTTGTGGCTAAGATTTATTTAAATTGCTGTGGAGTGCAGCTTGGCTAGTTAGCAACAAAAACGTACTCTTAAAAGAACTGACTGCATTAGATTAAATAAAATTTAAACTTAGAAGTTGCTCAGAGTGCAGATAAATCTTGCCATAGCTTGCCGATGAGGTGTCTTCCCTTCTCCTTTCTATTTGTAATTTATGCTGTAGCTGATATGACATCTACTGGGATGTCCCTTGGCCTGACAGGTGACAGAGCTGTCACATCTATTCTTGGTAATGTGGCATACACATCTTTTTAAACATGTAAACACTAATACGCCCTGAACCCTTTCCAACTTGGACTTGGTCTTCAGGGTTTCGGAGCAAGGGCAGAGGAAGGCAGTTTCAGCTCTAGCAGCACAGCTCCTGCAGCCTTTAACTGTCTAAGGTGCTCCTGGGTACTGTTGGATCTGATAGTCCCGTGTCCCCCTTGTCCCCCTGGTACTACACAGGGTTGTGGCCAAAGCTGGGAAGGGCTGACACAACCGTACATCCCCCTGGATGGCTCATGGCAGCAGGGTTGCAGCCTCGTCTCTGCCCACGGCAGGGGAACAGGTTGGGAAGACGTGGCGTCATGGGACAGGCTTGCACCGCGTAGGTGCCTGGCAGGTAACGCTTTTACTCCTGGCGTTGGGGATCAGCAGCTTTCAGGAGACAACTCTCTGGTTTAATTTCCTAAGTGGTAAGGAAAGGGGTAAATCTGTCATGTAAGTGCAGCGATACAACCAGAAGGGACCTCCTGTGTTGTAAGATGAGCCTGTTTAGGAATGGCCAGTACAGTTCTCAGTCTGCCCACGGTCAGGTTAAACAGTTAACAAGAAGAGTCAGTACGGGGAGCTACAGGGCAAAGAGGCTCTGCCTCTTGCTGGAGACTCTCTGGTGTTACTGCGGGAATAGAACAATACAGACACACACGATTGCTGGGCTAAGGCATCTGCAATGAGCAGCCAATGCATCATGCTGGGCAGGAGGCCATAGAGCAAAGTTTATAAAGCTTTATTAAACGTTTTGAACAGCTGTGCAATGAACAAACAATACTCTGGAAGTTTCACAACCTCATCGCTTGAACTTCCTCGGGACAGCAACAGCCACTTCTGCTGCTCTCCACTATGAAACCAAAGTAAAGACAAACCGATAGCAAAGGGGAGGGAAACCTTTAGAGACAGTATTTTGTGTTAACCTCTAAGGCTTCTCACAAACAAACCTCTGCCCCAGGCTGGGCTCCCCAAGAGCCATGGCTGCACCGAGTAAAGTATGCAGCGCGGAGCTCTGCAGAGCTGTGGCTGCGGGACTGATCCACCACCTCCTAGGCTTCCTGACATCCTTCTGCCAGGGCAGGTGGAGACACCAGGCACCCCTCCAGCCTCCTCCCTTCTCCAGTCACTAGCACCAGCACATTCTGTCACCCCTGGCCCGAAAACACTACCACTAAAAATGGCTGAAGCATTTACTGCTTCAAGCCATGCCTCCACCTTGGGATCCTCTCCTGCCCTGCCCACGTCTGGCCTCTTGGGCTAGCGCGAGTTTTACAGGGTGAGGTTCACAGTGACTTTCAAAACCCCACATCTTGCAGCATACTGGTTCTTTATCCCAACAGTCAATACCTTGGTAATCCCTGGAAACCTAGGAGGAGGGGAGCAGACAGTCTCCACAACCTGCGAGGCTTTATAAAAGCAGCAGCATAACTGAGGCTTTCAGGCTATGATCTCGGAGCATAAAGTAGTTCAGAAAGCACTTCGGCAGTGCACACATCTCTTTGGCAGGCTGAGCAGGAGGAGATGACTCAACTGCCTCTGGCTCCAGCAGCTTTTGGCCAAGTGCATCTGTGAGCTGTCGAGCTTGCCCTTGATCAGCAAGGTGGGAAGGCTGGCTCCCCACAAAGAGAAAGATGGAGAGAATCTTGTAGCTACTTGAGTAGAATCAGTGGGCCAAGAGCCCTGAGTTAGACCACCATGGCCTAATGCAGACAAGTGAGTGACACACAACTCTACCACCGGCGCAACAGCTGGGCAGAGGCCAGCAGCTCGGTCCTCCACCAGTTCTCAGTTAGGAGGGCTGGTGTCCGTTCCCGGTGATGCAGGAACGAGGGGAAAAAAAAAATTCTGCTTCTAAAAAAGCAGGTGGTGCTGCCAGAGTTCACACAGTAAACAAGTCGAATTTCACAGGCAGAGTGGGAGGAATTTACCACTCTAGTCCACACACAGTTACAGAAACAGGCTGTTTTTACTCCAGTCCCATGCCTAACACCCCCTCCCTCCTCCCTAGCCCCACCCCCTTTTTAAATGCAAAACAAGAGCCCTCAGCAGACTGGAAAATTATTGTTTTCTAGGTGCCCACTATGCTGGGATCGTGAGCTGATTCCGGCAACTGGGATCCTGTGCAGTGATACAAGAAGCAGTTCCCCCAGCAGCTGTAGCAGATGAGGAATAGAGCTGCCAGGAAGACCAAGGCACAAATCGTGCAAGGTTTCCGTTCCAGGAGGAAACTGAGCAGATAGAAGCCCATGAACATTGAGTGACTGAACCACAACGCTGGGTTGAGGGGCTTGGGGATGAGCAGGACAGGCAGCAACCACTGAAGGCAGTACATTGTGGCTGGCTGGCCGGGGCCTTGTAGCAGCAGCAATCAGATGTGCTCCAGAACAGTCTCCAGCAACTCCTCTGGTGGGCAGGCCGTTCTGTAGGGAGGGGGAAAATGTCACACTGTCAGAGAAACACAGCAAAAAAAAAAATCAACAGACATTCCTCTTGTACAGCTTCATTTACTCCCAAGCATCGTATGCTGATGCTTGAACTCCCAGTACTAAATTCTGGTGTGTCTCAGAGCTGGTGGAAAGTCTCCTGCTTCTGAACTCCTCAGCTGGGGATGTGATCACCTGTTGCTGGTGTAGAAGCATATCCCTTGTGTGCTCTGTTTCTCAGGCTTTTACCCAGGCTAACAGTTGTGAGACCTTCTTGGTTAGTATAGTGCAGGAACAGAAAGGGAAAGGGGGAAAGAGAAAGGAAAACAAGCTGCCACAGCCTTCCCTCCACATGTATTTATCCAAGACTGTCCAAAGACTTGAGTGATGGTATAAAGAAATGCAACTGAGGGGTAAACTATTAGGTGCCTCAAAGAAGTGTTAAGGAAGCACTGGTGTAACAAGTGTCTAGGAAACATTAAGTGCACAAACTGCTTCCTCCCTGTGCACAGATCCATTATAAAGTCTTCAAGCAGGGCAGTGTAAAATTCAAGCTATACATGCAGCTACCCAGGAAAGCCCCAACAGTGTCCAAGCTGCAAAACAAAGGGGAGGACTGTCCCTGCTTAAGGGATTTGTAATCCTTGCCAATCACCTAAAGTCTGATAAGAGTGTGAATAGATCAAAGAGGGGACAGTCTCAAAATGGCAATTTTCATAAGTGCTGTAAACACAGGATTTCCTCACTTGGATTATTATAAAACCCTTTGGAAACAGTGAGCTCTAAGGCTTCTCTAAGCAGGGATGGCACAATACAAGTCCAGAAAACACACTTCTACCTTTAGCAACCACATCAACTATGCTAAGCGTGTGGGGATTTTTTTTTTCTTTCTAGGCAGTACAAACATCTTCTTCCAAGAACTTCTGGTGGCTTTAAAAATAATAAATGCCTTACAGATGTTTTTACAGAGCCAGAACTCTGGAGAGGGGTCAGAAGAGTAGGGTTTAGCAGGCTGGGATAGCAATAGCAGGTCAGACTAGAAGTTATGAGTATTGTTGGGAGCGAATAACTGGAAGTTCTCCTTCAGTTCAAGCAGCAGGGAAAATATGACAAGAGGGTACTCCTAGCTTATTACCTCAAAAAGGCAAAACCATGCAGGGGAATGCTGGAGAAGGGAAAAGCTTGGGAAGTGTGCTCTTCCCTGCTCTCCTGTAGCACATCATGATAACACGCAGCAACGCTGAACGAAGCATGGACCAGCTAGGGCACAGAAAGACAGGTGAGGGGACAGCCCCAGCCTTGCAGAATGCCATGAGCTCACCCCTGTTAAGCAGAGCCTGGTCAGAACAGCTTCTTGCAGCAATCCTTTTATCTGAAAGTACTCAGCTGTCAGAAGGATGAAGGGCTGAGCTGAGCCTGTTAGGATTACAACTGAGGGGTGGGAAGGTTAGTAGGATGAAGGAGTGAGATGGTAAACAAACAGTGCATTCCGCTGGCTCCTGTTGGCAGGAGAAGGGATTTCCTGGCGAAGGGAAGGAGAATGAGGGATTGCACAGAGAAGCCAAGAGAAAACCACACATGGTTCTCTTCCAAAAAACCACTGAGGTCAGGCTTGTCTTAGCTCTGTAAGCTCGCAGGTACCAAGCGGCTCTGTTGTCAGAAGCAGGAAGCATGCTGCCATCCACTGTGTTCTCAGCGGCAGGATTTATTTTAATGTTAGTGAGACAGAATGCGGGCCAAAATCTAAACGGATTAAGAATATTTGGGGAAAGTATGTTGGCGCTTCTGCAAGAGAGCATTCTCCAGCAGAGAGAGGGCAGCTGGGGTTCAATTAGTAAAACTAAGCTGCAGATAGACAGCCAAAGAATAAGGAAGAAGTTATTTTATGTTGCAAAATGGATAAAGTCAAGTCAAAGGAGTAAAATGTTAGTTCTGTTTTATGCAGGTCGCTCGCTTGTGTCTTTCAGGGCAAGTCTAGTCCCAAGCCTGTTTCTCCTGTCTATAAACTGGAAATAAGAATTACTTATTTCATAACAAAACATGCTGTCTGCTAGCCTTTGTGAATCACTTGGATGTTTCTGGAGTAAAAGTACTCCAGAAGTATGATGGTAACTTTTTTCCAAGGGGAAGAATGGAGAGAAAAGACTTAACAATAAATATTTGAACAGAAAGGTAATTAAACCCCACCATCCAACTTTTTAGTTCAGATTGCATTGAATACAACAAAGATGTACCAAATCAATGATCTGCAGCTGCCTTAATTATCCTGAAATGTTCCTTCCTTGAAGTTTCCTACAGCCTTTCTCTCCCAAGTGCTCTAAACATTGAGCCGTACAAATCACTGCATAAACATCCCATCATACTTTTGCTGAAGTCACATCAGCTTGACTGCTGTAGCTGGACACGTGCGGCAGCCTTTGGGTCACTCGTTCTTGAAGCTTTAGTTAAAACTGGCTACACACAATTGCTTTGGGCCTTCTCTCTCTAAAGAAATGGATAAAAACCAACCTAAGACAATGTTGTCTGTCAGAAGAGCACAAGGCTGGAATAAAGCTCTAGAATCTTCCAGGACTAATGTCATAAATCTCTCAGCTTTAATAAGGCCATGTGTCACTATTGAGCCTTTAGTGCCCAAACTTTACAACTGGCTACAGTTTAAGAGTATAATTATAATTTGTGACGTAGCTGCATTTCACTCCACAGTCTGGCCTCCTCACCACAGCACAGACTTAACTGATAATGCTCTGAACAGTGAGTTGATTCTAAGCATGTAAGCATTACCTAAACACTTCCTATAAACACAAATTGCATCTCAGAACAAGTTACCCATTTTTAAATATTGGTATTTCCTACAAGAGCCAGTTGCTTGTAGCCATCAATGCAACCACTCTGCAGAATAAAGAACCAGTTAATAGTGATCATTTTTACTATGAAGCTTCAATGCTGATGCCCTTCAATCTGCAAACCTTTTGGACTTCCAACAAATGCAGACGTTCGAACAGTTAGTCTTGTATCTAGTCAGTTTGCTCCTATTTTCATGTGCCCCTTTGCTATCCACTAGTTAAAGGCTGAAGACTCTGCGGTATCCCACAGCTGAGACTAGATAAGGTACCTACTACTAGAGACTTCTGCAGCTCTATCTTCCTCAAGGGAATTTCCACTAGTAAGATCCATGCTCTTCCTAGCTCTTCACTGGAGACTCCTTTATATAGCTGGCAATGAGACCGAGTTCTCTTTCCGTGCTATGGATCAAAGAGAAACAGCGTCTCCTGCTATCAGCTCTTTACTAGGCAGGGAACTGTCACTCTCCTTGGTGCCCAGGATAGGCAGTCCCTTCTTGAAGCCATGAGAATATTCAGTTTTGCCTAGATTCTCAACCAAGGTGAAACTTGCAAATGAAAAATTCCTACCTTGTTGTCTTTGTCCCCTCCTCATGATCCAAGATAAAGATTACCACATCCCAGAGCAAATAATAACCTGTCACCCAACAGTACTTCTACCAGCTCCCTGTTTTACAACCGCATCCTGCTTTTCCTAAACCAGTTGCTCTTGTTCTCCCCTGCCTGACTCATCTCCTTCCTTAGCCAGCCTGGTGTCCTGCTATCCTCAAGACTGCTCTCATGCTCCTGCTCAAGTCATCTGACTTGGCGCCCACTCATGTTTACCAGATGGCTCCTTTTCATCACACCACCACTGCCTCCTCTCCCTCCTCCACAGCTCTTGGAGCCACTTGAACTTGCTTCAGACCCCTCAGCAGCAGGGAGCAGGCGATGCTCCCGCTGCTCTCCCCACAGTCAGCGCTTGCCGGCTCCATCTGATCTCCATGTGCTGCCGGAGCCTCCTCCCTGCCAGTTCCTGCCGGCAGAAGAGCAGCCTGGGGAGGTTCCCTGCACACACATCATTAGTAAGCAAACATCAATACTTTTCCACACGCTTATAATCGGCTTCTATCATGTTCACAGCCCTTCCTTCTGTCATCTTCCCTCCCAAGACCATTCAAAACCAGCAGGTCCTACTGGCACGGGTTTGCAGGGAGGATTTTCAAATTCCAGTGTGAGGGTAGTGGCACACCTTTCCCAGCCAGAAACAAAACTTTAATTATGACAAGTCAAAAGTGAGTAGCACAGCACAAGTCTGTAGTGCTTTGCAGTGGATCAGTCACATTTCAGAATAAATCCGTCTGAGAAGCTAGCAAGCTGTTCTCTGATATTCTACAAGCTAATTCAGCAATTAAGAGGCCAAGAGGTGTTTCTACACCATAGGTTTTATGCCAACACCAAGTCCGTACCTTTCTCAACAACGTCCTAATTCCTTAACAGTCCGTTTGCCCTGACAGGGGAGAATAATCAGCTGGCTTTCACTAAGCACTTAAAAAGTAAGCTTGTTCAGACCTTACTAAGGCAGCTATTAAGCTGGTACTGTCCGCAAGGAGCTTGCCCAGCAGATGCTACGGAAACAGTCACCCAGGCTGGCAGTCGAAAGGTCTGCAATAAAAGACAGAGTAACCTTTTTATTGGGAGGTAGTGGTGCCAATCTCCCTCCTTCCCAGAAGCTGAAGTTTCTGCTTGGGAATGAAAAGCCACATTGTCTAGATAAAAATCTCTCAAGCTACACAGTGCACGTAAGCTTAAGAGTAAGCCTCAGGGACTTAACATTGAGTTTCTTACCTGTAAGGCTCACCTGTAGTACAGTTTGCTTAAAATTGTTTATGTCAAAAACCCTGTCACAGCCATGGAACTTGAACTGATGTGTGTGGGCAGAGCTTCATGCTGCCAGCATGTGTTCAAAACCAACTTTCAAATACCCAAAACAGCTGCTAAAAAATACACAATACCCAAAGCATGGGGGGGTGGGGGGGTGGAAGAGGAGAAAGAGCTATCAAGTGAGGAGTTTGAGGAGTTCAGCTAAGAAAAGCAACAGCAGAC